CGAGCAGCTTCTCTGTAGATGCATAGTTCTCTGTCAGGAGCATGAATGTTTTCCTACCTGAGATGCCTTACCAACCTCTTCCAGTGTGACTGCCTTGGCCTTTCTTGGCAGCCTTTAGTTTTCCCTTCTTAGAGTGATCACTCCAGTATAGTGTGGACCAGTGCAGGCCAGGAAACTGCAGAGGGTCTGCTCAGCACCACATTTATTAGACTTGATCTTCAGATCCCAGAATGTGTTATAGTGGGTATGTGTTGAATGCATGAGAGAAGAGAAGGATACAGCTGACCCTGGTCCCTGTGAAGCCCTCCCTTGTGCTCTAATTGTGGCTTCATTGCCCCAGTCCTGTACTGGGGAGCATACAAATTGCTGTGCAGTAAAGCTGTGTGACATGGTCTTTGTTTATTGCTAGTTGCTTTTTAATAGTTGGATGTTGGGCCTCTGGAATATTGCTTTCTTGATGTGTGATGAATACTTTTAATCCTTTGGTCACCTTATTTTTTTTTAAGTTAATTACTTTCTATTATGTCGATGGATTGTTTTATGTTTTAGATAATTTTCTCTAAATCTTGCAACACAGGGACTCTCAGATCGAGCTCGCTGCCACCACCTGGAGCTTTTTCAGAAGCACTTCCTCATTAAAATAGATAATTTCAGGGTTTATACAAGGCACTTTCCCAAGATAGAATTGGGAAATTGAAATGATAAAGCACTTCACTCATTTACTAAGCATCTCTGTGTTTATTCTGATTTCATATGGAATGAGCAGGGTTAAGGGACATTAACAGCTGCTGGGTCTCCTAACCAACAGTGACGTCCTGCAGTTAGGATCAGAGGGGGCTCTGGGAGTCTTACTCCTTACTGTCTTCTTCCCTCAGATCTAGATCTGTCTGTAGGAGGCCACTCAAGGCAGAGTTTCTCTTGTGTTTATGAGGACAGAGGGAAAGAAAGAAGGTGAGCTGCAGAGAGTCGGGTTAGTGGCACTTGGACTGACGAAGAGGTATTCAGAACAGTGGTTTTGAAGTCATAGTGGCTCAGGTTGAGCTATGGTTCTTCCATGTGTCTGTGGTACAGTGAGTAGGACACTATCCTCAGAAGCCTGAGTTTTCTCTGCTGGGATATAAGGGTAGAGCTCTCAGAGTTAAGCTGAGAAATAATGAGATAGAGCCGAAGTGATAAAGAAATGTCTGTTCTTACTAGTATAATCAGGGTTCCTTTTAGAGCTTCAGCTTGTGTACTAGCACTTTAGGCCCCGTGTGATCATGAAGTCAAAATGGATCTGAAGTCAAAAGTATCTAGTAAGCTGCTCTGCGCTTAGGAGCTATGTTGCAGTTTGTAAAGCAGATTAGCATTGTCTTCCCCTGTGGATCTCCACATGTTGAGGTGTCAGCCCTGTGGCCCCTCAGCTATAGTTCTGCAGAAGGAGGAATAAGTGAGGCTAAAAAGGGAAAGCACTAGGCTAGCAGGATGGCACAGTGAGGGAAAAGGAAGAGCAGTAAAAGCAGTAGACTGGGTCTACAAAGGAAGGTATATGAGCCAGAACCCCCAACCCCACCCATGTGTTAGTCAGGATTCTCTAAAGCAACAGAACTGGTGTGGTGTGGTGTGGTATGGTGTGGTGTGGTGTGGTGTGGTGTGGGTGGCGTGGCGTGTGTGGTGTGGTGTGTGTGCTGTGGCGTGTGTGGTGTGGTGTGGTGTGTGTGTGTGTGTGTGTGTGTGTGTGTGTGTGTGTGTGTGTGTAGGGATTTACTAGAGTGGGTTACAGGCTGTGTCAGTAGTTGTTCAGTCCACAAGACTATATGTCTCAACAATCCCTGCCATTTGAGCCTAAGAGGTTCCTGGAGAATGTCTTTTTTTCAGTCTTCTTTGGAGTCTGGGTCAGCAACAATGGTAATAGACTTGCCAGAAGGATGAAGGCAAGCTGGCCAAAAGCAGCACTTCCATCTTTCATGACCTTTTATGTGGTCTACCACCAGAAGTAGCCCAGAATTAAGGTAAGTCTTCCCATCAGAATCCAATTATCCAATTAAGAAGAATCCCTCAGCCAGGCAATGGTAGTGTACACCTTTAATCCCAGCACTCAGCTAGTTCTAGGACAGCCAGTGCTACACGTGAAAACCCTGTCTCAATGAACAAACCAAAAAAAAAAAAAAAGAAAATCCCTCAAAGGTATACTCAGCAGTCTGGGTTTTAGTTCCAGGTTCCAGTTGTAGCCAAGTTGACAACCAATACTTCACAACCCTCCAGAAAAAAGTTGCATTATTATTAGTTCTCCCTCTGCCTGCCTCAGTGTCAACACACTTGCTGGAGAAGCTTTGCTTAGCCATTGCAGTTATTATTTCTAAGCGGAAGAGCATGCAGGAGTGTGTGTGTGTGTGTGTGTGTGTGTGTGTGTGTGTGTGTGTGTGCGCGCGCGCATATTTAGGCCATTCAGCAGTGTTTTATTTGTTCATTTGACATTTAGTGTGAGTGGGGATACAATTCTGCCATGCCAGCCAGGCAGACCTCAGATTCAGGGGCTTAAGGATCCTCCTACCAATTACCTGGGGTTGCAGACAGTTGCCAGCATGTCTTGGCTAACAGATTCCTTTGTGGGGGCAGGAAGGGACACAGGGGGATCTTCAGTGTGCCAGATACACTGCTAGGCATTGTGTATGGAGCAGGAATCAAAAAGACAATGTCACTGCTCTGGTGGGAAGGGAATGCACTAAAGATGAACATAAATAAAGGTGTAATCTTAAACTGTTAAGTGATACAAAGGAAATGAGCAGGGTACCTGTGGGAGAGAAACAGAGAGGGGCTTCTTTTATAGCAGCATCAGTGAAGCATGTGTGAGCAAGAGTCCGGAGTTGAAGCTCCGTCATCAAGCCTCATGAAGTCTTATCATTATCATTTTACATGTGAGGAACAGAAAGCCACAGAGACTTAGGTACATGGCAAAGAGCACATAATAAAGGATGGCAAGTGATGAAGCAGAGCCTTCTAGATATATATATAGTCTGTAGTACCCAGTAAGGTCTTCAAAGTGAGAGACGCAGACAAGGTAAACACAGATGTGTGTCCAGGCACACACCCCAGGAGCACTTCCAGGCCAAGGTTGGTAAGCCCTGGTCAGGCAGGGAAGTTGGCATTGGGTGGTGATGGAGCGGTGGGTGGGTACCAGATCGATCAGACAGTATTGTGAGAGTGTAGACTATTCACTATCATTTACTCAGTAGACAAACGGGTAAGAGGCTTGTAATATGATGGCTTTTAGTGTTGAGTCTCCTTCCCTCATACTGCAAATTAAAACCAGGATGTGCTTATAGTAGAGGAACACTTCTACTACTAGTGTGTCTGTGGGGGAAGTGTGTGTGTACATATGTGTGTGCAGATACAATTTGTAATTAACTTTACACAGTGGCAACTTAGTGTCTCCTCTGTGTCTGGGACTTACATTAGGAAAGATGGCATGCAGCATCCTTTCTTGTATTGTTGGCTACTTGTTTATCTTCTCCAGAGAAATGTCTGCTCAAATCCTTTGCTAGTACGATTTTAAAGAAGCCAGTGCTTAATTCAAAGTCACAAAGACTTATCCTACAATGAGTTTTATGATTTTACCTCTTACATTTGGATCTTTGTGTATGCTATGAGTAGGAATGCAAATTCATCCTTTGCATGTTGCTTTCTGGTCATCCCACTGCCATTGTCTGAAAGGACTATTCTTCCCCTTTAAAGCACAGTTTTGCAGTAGCTGTCTTTGAACTTTCTAATGGGGTAGAAAGACAGAAGAAAGAAGAAAGATCTGGGGCACGAGCAGCTGGTATGGTGGTGGCATCACTTGCTGCAGTGAGGTGGCTGCTGCGCGACGCGGGGTAGGAAGGAATGGGGGACAGTAAAGCACATCAGTATAAACTTGAGTTGTCAGTGCACTTTTCTCTTCACGATGTATTGGACATGTTTGTGGGTGAGTAAGACTGTGAGCCAAGAAGGCCACGCTCTGGTCGCTGGTGAGGAAGGGGCATGGCCAGAGCTGCTTAGAGCAGAACAGGAGAAGGTGCTGCTGCTTGATTTGGGTGGTTTGGGACTCATTGGAACAGTTTGGTTTTTTTTTTTTTTTTTTTTTTTTTCAAGAAAAGAGGAAATAATAGTTTGGGGGTGTTAGCTGTAGCAAGACTACCTGCATGGCCTCCTGACCATGAGGATTTGGGGATTATGAAAAAGAAGACTGAAGAGCAGGGCATGGTGGTGTATTTAGAATGCAGCTAAGGCATGGGGAACAACGTGGGAGGTAGAGAAACAAAGAGAAGAAAGGAAGGAGGAGTACATAGAAGAAGGAAGAGTTTAAAAAAAAAAGTCCTGTTTTAAGAGAATGGCAGAGGAACCATGCCCTCCTCAGACAGCAGCTTTTGCTTAAGGCACAGAAGTAGAATGTTTGAAAAAGCAGCTTGGTTATGTTGCTGACTAGTGTGGTACTTCATAGAGCAGAAAGGAGAGTGCAGAGAGAGGAGGGCTGAGTATATGGCGAGGATCAGGGGTGCATAGAGTAGTGCAGGTTGAGCAGTAATAGAAAACGAGGCACCCTTGAACTGTGTGGCACTTAGGGAAGCAGGTGCGCTGCCCAGTGGAATCTAAGTCTCTGAGATACATGGACAAGATACTGGACATGTCTCAAGTGTGAGTGCCTCCTCTTCAACCTGTACAGGAGAGACGTGGCTATACCAGGGAAAGCAGCTGATGGCAGGGTCTGTTAGAGTCTTCTTCAAGAGCAGAGTTGATAACAAACCCAGTCTAACGCCAAGCACCAGCTCCAATCTCGCTTGTACTTGTTCCTCTAATAGAGCTTATTCACCTAACTGAACGCAGACTTTATCCACCTCAAGACTGGTTAGGCTCAGAGCAGGTTTATGCAGAAAGGATGGGAAATGGCTCTTCTGACCTAAAGCAGGAGAGCTGTGCTAGGACCTATTGCCTGCAAGACCACAGCTGTGTGTTTTACTGTCGTGCATGTGTTCTGTCCACAGGGTCATGTGGGTACAACTGCAACTAAGAAGATCGATGTCTACCTCCCCCTGCACTCGAGCCAGGACAGACTGCTGCCAATGACGGTAGTGACAATGGCCAGCGCCAGGGTGCAGGACCTTATCGGGCTCATCTGTTGGCAGTACACAAGCGAAGGACGGGAGCCAAAGCTCAAGTAACCCTTTCTCTTCTCACTGCTCTAGTTCCTAGTCTCCAGGTCTCCAGCAGAGCTAAGCTCTTAGCCATGTCAGTCTTTCTAGGCACTAGCCAGAGGGCCAGGGTTTCACACTAATCTAGCTCAGAGTCTTCCCCAGGGTCCTACTTGCAGGTTAAATTTACAAGCTTCCAGATATGGACACAAGGAAATGAATTCATGTGGATATGAGTAGCATGAAAGGGGCTGGAGAGATAGCTGAGGGGTTAAGAACACTGCTCTTCCAGAGGACCTGAGTTCAATTCCCATAAACCACATGGTGGCTCACAACCATCTGTAATGGGATCTGATTAACTCTTCTTGTATGTATGAAGGCAGATCACTCATATACATAAAAATAAGTAAAAAAATTTTTTTAAGAGTAGCATGAAAGAAAATGGGAGGGGACTGCTGTCTGAGCACTTGGCATGAGCCGGCACTTAACTGGCCGTGTTATTCCTGGCATCCTGTTTGTCCTTCCAGCCGGGAAGTTGTGTGTCTTAGTCCTCTTTGTCTTGAAGGCAAGACGTGGGGACTCCACACATCTCAGGAACTCCACAGAAGATGGCAGTTAGGGCTGACCCCATGTCAGGGTGCCATGTCACTCCGTGTGCCCGCTGCAGAGCTTTGGTCTGAATCCAGGCTTTCTCTGTCAATAGGGACTTGACTTTTTATCCATCACCAACTAAGCCATATTCTTTATTTAGTGTTTATAGTAAAGAAGCCTTGCTTGAAAGTGGGTTCTCCATGGCTGTACACTTGGTACCTTTACAGTGCTTGTCCTGAACATACCCTTTCCTGACAGGTACCCTCTTTAGGTTGTCATTTTTCTAGCAACACGATAGGAAATCTCTATAGCCCATATTTAGCTGAGCATGATCCAATCAGCTTTAGCATAAATTTTTCTTTTAAATGCATTAAATTTGCATGTGAAGATTTTTCTTCTAGTTCTTTCTTCTTTCATTGTTTTCTTTCTTTGTCAGAGCCTCACTGTCAAGTGTAGGGCAGCCTCAAACTCAGGATTTTCCTGCCACAGCCCTCAGTGCTGGGATTACAGATAAGCACCACTATGCCTAGTTGCTTTGAGCTCATTCTGACATTGCCTTCCATTTCCATGGGCAGGTTTGAGTGAAAATATCATCATTATTGCTCTGATGGCCATAGAGAGCTGAGGTACTCACTGGGCTCAGACAAAGGTTGGGGATCGGTTGCTGTTCTTGGGGAGGTGCTGAGATGTAGATCTTTCTCAGTAAAAAGTAGAAATGAGGAACAAGAAAGGGAGCAATACCTGAACTAAACCTTGAAAATGCTGTTTAGTGTGGCCACTGAAGCTGACAGATGTGAGTCAGCTGGTCCAGGGTTACACAGCTGCCGAGTACCAGACAGGAACTGAACTGTGACTCCATTCTGTAGATACAGAAACTAAACTAAGGCTAAATAGTTTTCTTAACCCACATAGCAAGTGGCAGGATTGATATTTTAACTCAGTGGTCTCTGCCATTGCCCAGTTCTTCCCTTCCACATGTAGTGTGGTGGAACTGCATGCTAGGTCTGGAAGTACAGGAGAGGAGAACAGTTTCTGCTGTCTGGGACTGTGCTGCCTGAGGTAAAATGGCTTGGAGAAGAACCAGGTGTGTGTTTCAGAGTTAATGTGGGGTCCCGCTCCCTTGATCCTGACAGAGCCAAGATGAAAACTGAAGAAACAGTGGGAAAAGTTATATCCAGAGGCTGAGAAGACGGTATGTTAAAGAATGCTACAGATTTGTGTTTATGCCCTACTCCAGCGCAGAGCAGTGCATTGGCATATTTGTAGTAGGTACAGAGGCTGGAAGTTCAGCATATTTTCTCAAGAACACAGGTCAATCCATAACTACTTTTTTGCTAGTTGATAACTTGTTATTATACTTTCCCTGTATGAATTAGTGATATGATTATAGTGCAAACTGGAAGTAACTAGAATGTTCTTCACAAGGTGAACTATGAAACATCATGCTCCACCAGTACAGCATAATGCTACTCAGCAATAAGAAAGGAACAAGCTATTGATGCACACGACTACATTGATAGTTTTAAGTCACTGTGGAAAGGTTGTGTCTCATGTGATTCCGTTACGTCACATGTTCAAAGTGACAAAGTACAGAGACAGAGAAACACGTACATGCTTTCTGAGGACAAAGACAGTATTTGGGAGGAAAGGATACAAAAAGACCTTATGTTCTGTTCTCAGTGGAGGTTACACACGCACACATACACACATATGCACCCATGCTGGCAGAAACTGAATAAAGTTGATAGTCTTGTTACTAGTGTTGTGCCAATGTCAATTTCCTTGTTCTTGATGTTAGACTATAATTAGATGAGCAATCACTAGCGGTGAATAGTACATAAAGGATTCAGAGGGCTCCATGTGATATGTTTTTCCTCTTGTGAGTTTGTAATCATTTAAAAATGAAAGTTTTAAGAATAGCACTCTTTTTTTAAAGCACAGCAGAAAAAAAAATCCACTTTCTTTGTGTCAGGTATAAGAGTTAAATGTGAACTGATGTTAGAACATGTTGTTGTCACGCTGGAGGAAATGACTGGTATAGGAGAAATAACTGCAAAGTTGCAAAGAGAAGGCACCTATCCCTACACAGGGAGCATGGGCGCACTCAAAGCCAACTCCATCCATTGCAGCAGGTGCCAGAAGACCTTGTTGTACCTCCAGAGTGCTGAGGAATGGCTGTAAATCCACCTTCCTGATTATGCACCTCATCCCTTGACAGAGGCCACATGATCACACCATACATGTCCCTTCACTTAAGACAGTTGGTGCTTACATATTTTGGTCTTCATACTTTGAATGCTTTTTTTCTCCTAAAAACTATAGAGAACCTCAAAAATTTATTTTTGTATGTTATATCTACCAATATTTTCTGTAGTAGAACTCTAATTTGGACATAAATTTAAAACATTTTTCAGTTTTAAAATACTTGCAAATATAATGCATGTTAGCATAAATTTTCATTTTTTAATTAATGGTTCTTCTTGAAGAACATTAGGTGAATTAGGTACACACACACACACAAACACACAAATATGGAAGCCAGAAAACAACCTTCAGTGTCATTCCTCAGGAGCTACCCACCTTGTTTTTTGAAACTGTCTCTTACTAGCCTGCAGCTCACCAATGAGTCTAGGCTGCTTGACCAGCAAGCCCCAGGGGTCTTGTCTGACTCTGCCTATCCAGAGCTGGGATTTCATGCATGTACTACTGTACCTGGTTTTTTCCTGGGTGCTAAAGGGTAGAGACAGGAGAGGGTCTTGCTGGCTAGTCAGCCTAACCAGTTCTGTGAGAAGCCTCAATAAGGCAGAGATACATAGAGGAAGACAACAGATGTTGACCTCTGTCCTCTACAAGTCACACACACACACATATACAGTACACACACACATAAATAAATCCCACTAAAAGCAGAAAGATATCTACAGCTTTCTTTTTTTATATTTATTTATTTATTTATTTATTTTTATTTATTTATTTATTTATTTATTTTTTTAACAGCTTTCTAAATAGCTAGAGAAATGGAGGTAAGCTTTTCAGTTAAAGCTCAAGGAAGAAAATAAAGAAGCAAAGAGCCTGGTGTGGTCGTGCACATGCTCCTGGCACTTAGAGACAGAGGCTCCAAGTTCAAGGTTAGCTTGGACTACATAGTCTGACCCTGTCTCATAAATATACACAAACAGATGTATTGTTAATCACAGTAATGCCAACAGAAATTCACCTACTGGTTATCCTGGGACTCGCTGTGTAGACCAGGCTGGACTCAAACTCACAGAGATCCTCCTGTCTCTGTACTATCATGCCTAACTTCAGACAGTAGAATTTAAGACAGAAAACATACTGATTTTGGCAAAGCTCATGGTGAACTGAGAAACAAACCTCCTGCATAATATAATTCTTACTGTGTTCGACTAGCAGCATGCATCAAAGGAAGAGAACACCACATGATTTCCTTCTGAAACAGGACATTTCAGTACACTCCTGCCAAAACCTGTCAGCCAGGGGGAGGGGCCAGAGAAGATGGTCAGGCAGAACAAAGTATTATGAAAAGCACATGGCGAAACCCGTTCTTTATATACTGATTTTAAAAGCAAAATAAAAGTTATGCAACATTAAACAAAAGAATATTAGCTGGGAAGTAGTGGCACACACCTTTAATCCCAGCACTTGGGAGGCAGAGGCAGATGGATATGAGTTCAAGGCCAGCCTGGTCTACACAATGAGTTCCAGGACAGCCAGGGTTGTTACACTAAGAAGCCTGTCCTGAAAAACTGAAAAGAAAGAATAGTATGGACCAGTGAAAAAAATTTAAGAACAATTTAAGAAAATTGTTTAAGAACAATTAGGAGTTGGGGGAGATTGTTTGAAGCACATAAATAAGTTACAGTACATTTAAGAGAAAAACACAAAGGGGGTTGGAGAGATGGCTTAGTGGTTAAGAGCACTGACTGCCTTTCCAGAGGACCCAGGTTCACTTCCCAGCACCCACATGGCAGCTCACAATTGTAACTTCAAGATCTGACACCGTCACACAGACATGCATGTAGGCAAAAAATGAATGTACATAAAATTCAAACTTTAATTTGAACAAATTTCAAAACCCATGGTCATCCAGGCTGGTATTCTTGAAACCTTTTTCTGGCATACGTATTTAGAGAATTGAAATTGTGGTAAAATACACATGTAATTTTTTTCATATTTTAAATAATTATGTGTATTTCATTTTGTAATCTAGAATGATTTAGCTTTTTATTCATAGTAGGAAGAGGCTTTTGCCTTTTTTTTTTCAGTAAGTGGAAAAGGAAAGATTAAAAAAAGAAAAAAAAGAAAAGAAACTTGAAAGGAAAGGTGATCAGCTTAGTTTCTCCGTAGCCTGAGACTCTTGTAGGGTGATCTCTTATGTTATCTTGTCAAGCTCTGCAGTTGAACTTGCTCCAGT